TGGAATAGGTGTATTGCTGATGTCTGTGGTTTATTGAAAGGAACTGTCAATGCTTAAAATTGTCTTTCTTCTTGACCAATTTTGAATGCTTAAATTTGGTAATCAGAATGACTGATTTGAAAACAACAATGTGCAGTACAAGAACCATTGTTGAACTCTTACCATCTTGTGTGGTGAAGCTCTGCAATATTTCCAAAGTTTTTTTTTTTTTTATTACTTGTTACTGTCTTTGATCGTTTGGTCAATCTTACATTCTTACGTCTAGTGGACTAATCAACTTCATCAAAGATAACAGTATGTAATGTAGCAACCATTATTAATTTCTATCATTTTGTTTTGAGGTCATGTATCATTTTTGTTGTTTTTGTGTTATTTTGGTTTTGTCTTCATTGTTGTTTTGTTAGTTTTTTTAATTTTTAAAATAAAAATACATCGAAGATTGTGGAATATTTTTCACTTACTTTAAGGAGGCTTTGTGATACTAGTTTTGACTTTAGGGACACTAACACTTCCTGTGATCAATATGTATGTGTTAATTTTAATAGTTTAGTAATGGTGAGCCATGTAGAAGTCATTTAATGGCTATAAAATTTAAGGGAATATTGAGAAAAACCATTTAATACCCCTAAAGTTAAAAGAGTTATTTAGGAAGCTAAAGACTCCATTATGGAAACCGTGGAAGAAAACATTTAACTGTAGAAAAATTTTTTAAAAAAGTTTTTATGAAAAACAAATTTTAGAAGATAGAAATCATCTAAAATGTGTCACATTTTGGTTTCTTTTATCCTAAATCCTGATGCACTTGTAGATATTATAAATAAAATCTGACTTTACCAGAAATAATATTATATTGGCCATACCAAGACTTTTTTCATAGGTCAGAAGACAACTTCTAATAGTATCATTTAGTACTGTGAACACATTAGTACAGTAAAAATCATAGAAAATAGCACATCATAAAGCAGTGTAAAATAGTTTAACATTTAACCATTCAGTAGCTATTCATATACATTATCTGTAAGATACTAAATTTAATTTACAATATTAGTCAATGGCTTCCATTCTAGTAAGAGATAAGCAAATTCATAATCTGTTTCCAGGGGATGAATGTGTTATTAAGAGTAGTATAGGGATCAATGGCCAGAGGGAAGTCTCTGTAAGCAAGACTGTGGATGGTCATATTCTTTTGTGTATATAATATTTTCTTTCTGTGAAGTTGTTCTCTTTGAGTTTGCCTCCAAAAACTATAGTGTTGAAACACCCCTTAGTTTGTATTAAGTAATAGCTAAATATCTTCTTTGTTTTAATCTTATTTAGGCTTAAAATATTTTAAAATAGGATCAAGATGAATACTGGAATACTGACAGAAAATATACAAGAATTGGAAGAGTTATACACATCTAGTCTGCCCATATTGGTCAACTGTGTTCTTGCTTGCATGACATTGCTTCTGGTTTCCCTTCCTGTCCTATGTACATTTCTGTTGCAATCCATAAATGTTATTATGCAAGATGTTTTCTGTGGTGCACATCATTTTTCTTTCAGTGCACTTTCCCTTTACAAATGTCTTTTACTCCAATAGTATCAATAATCACTTCTGTGTAAAAGCCTCCTTAATTGAGTTGGCCAATCCTATTCCCTGTTCCCCACTCATATCTGTAATCAGGACCCCTCAGTTTAGATTTTCTTGCATGCATTTCACACTTAATATGCTTGCCACATAACACGCATTTTGTCTCAAGCCCTGTTCTTCACTTTTTTATTTCATTTTACTTTTCATTTTAAAACAGCGATCTTAATTCTATAGTGTCCAAGCTTCAGATGCATGTTTCGATTATCCTTTTTATTTACCAATAATCCCAAAGCTATCCATTGGTATACATTCATTTGTTAAGCCCTACTCATTTCTCAACTATTATAATGATATTGTACCTGGCCTTCACTTTCCATTCCCTTGTCCTTTGGGGAATAGAATCAAATTTACCTTTTTAAATCTCACCACTGATCATATTTTATGGTAGGTCAAAAATATCTATAACTGTCCATTTTTTAAAATAACTAGAAGCTAAATTGGTCATTTATTCTCCTTGAAGTTGAGAGCAATTTCCCTCATTGGAAGTGTTCTCTTTTCCCATCTAATATACTATTATGCTTATGTCCTATATTCTGTCTCAGACTGCAAGGCCTTTGACTCAGATAAGTGAGTAGAGCTAAATAAACGCTCAGACATATCTGCTGCTGAAATGAATAAGTGACCTTTCATCTTGGCATCATATGACTCACACCCTATAATTAGTTCTGGGAATATTCTCAATACCTCGGATGTTTCTCAGGATAGATGGTTTTAAAGTTGTAGACTCCATCCTTCACAGACACCTTAAGGAATTATGAAGAGCTGTGTGGTCAGAGGTTAGCAAGGTTCATTTAGAAGAGTCTTTAACTGTAGTTACTTATGAGAGAGCCCTTATGGTCCATGCAAATGCCTCGAGGAATGTAGTTTACAGAATGGAACACAAATGTCAAGCATTTGGAAGACTTGCTAAAAATAGAACCTGCTAGGGCTCACTTCCAAAGCTTCTCATTCAGTAGGCCTTAAGAAGTTCTGAGAGTTTGCTTTTATAGCAAGCTCCCAGGAGCTGCCATCTCTGGCCTAGAGACAACACTGTTCTAGAACAGAATATAGGCATGTAGAGTTCTCAGTAACAAGCAACTGCACTCAGGTGCCTTGTAATTGACTGGAGCACTATAAAAAGGAAAACTTCCTTCCTGAGCTCTATAATAAAAAATCCAAATAATTATAGGACATATGCTCCAAATAAAATGGCTGCAAATCCATATTTTTATCAATAAAAGGATATATCTGGACATGGTGACTCATGCCTGTGGTTCCAATACTGGGGAGGCTGAGGGAGGTATGTTTTTTGAACACAAGATTTTGAGGTCAGCCTAGGCAACATAGAAAGATCCTGTCCCAAATAAAAAGGAGAGGGATCGACTTTTGTCTACAGTAACAGATAAACTACATTAACGTAAAATAAACTTCAGGCATTGGTGTCATAACCTCAGTTTGTTTTCTGCCATATTATTTCATCTGGGTTTGACAGAATTTGAGTTAATCTCCCTGTTAAAAATGAGGTACTTGCAAGAAGATCATGCTGGTAGATAGTACCTGTGTAAGCATTTATGTCACCATCCT